GGGGTAGGTCTTATTTTCTGGGAAACAGGGTATTAGTTATGGTCAGGAAACACTGCAACTGTGCTAATGTCAGGAATATTATTTTGCAGTAATCTGAATGAATTTGTGAGTGTCTTCATGAATGTCCCAACCTTATTAAATATCATTCAGAATTTACGTGAGTGTTACGTTTCTTTAGCAATACTGTAAATACATTTATGTTTTCAACACAATTAGCTATTCAGAGATGTCCTATCATTGAGAGGGATCACGGCTCAGTCTCCTGAATACTTAAATGGCCTTTGTAATAACAGCTTTTAAACAACAGAGGCCATACATCCAGATCTTACCAGGAAGAAGTTTAGAGAGGGCAGAGAGGATCTCAGGCTACCTTTTTGAAGTCAACAAAATTGACGACTCAGGCATTGGCCTCAGACCCCCACAAGTATTTTTGCCTGCTCAATCCAGAAATGAAGGAGCAAGATTGAGGTTTGAGCTCATGGAGTTTTAAAAAGGCACCTTCAAAACCATCATTCCTTCTGAACATGGTCCTGAAGTCACCTGAAAAAGCAGCTGTTCTTTTTCAGTGCATCAAGACACTCCTCACCAAGGTGGAGGGATTACGGTGCAGGGTGGGATCTAAAAAAAAAATGTCACAGGCTTTTATCCCCCTGGATATCTAGTGAGATGGACAGATTGGCTACGAAGACCTTTCCAAGAGGGTTTTCTGTACCAATGGAAGAAACTATCTGTCCCAATGGATCTGGATAACTGCGGTTATGCGGCCCAGCCTATGGTGATGGACAAAGTTGCAGAGGAGCTGATTTAGTAAAGGCAAACAGGCTGTTCACTTAGCAAAGTAATTTAAGTTTAAGTAAAAAAGTTTTATTTTTACCTTGCGAGGAAATGTTCCCTCAGCTTAGTGAATGAGGTGAGGCTCTGCTGACTTATGTCATCCACAGAATCCCCAGAATCAAGCGCAAGCAAAAATGCAGTTTTCCTTGCTTGCGATTGGGTATTCTTTGCAAAGTGAATTTCCACCACATTCACTGAGCTCAATGATAATTTTCGTGCAAAGTAAAAATTCACTTTACAAAGTGACAATGCTCGACTCCTTCAGTAAATAAATCGCTAGAATGTATTGGTGGGGCACTGTCCATTAGGTCCGGTGTCCTGGACCATCGCAACATCTGACGTGCATGTCATCTCAGCTGGGTGTACCCATTGTGCGGATGTGATGGTCCAGAGTAGATGGTGAAGTGAAGTACAAATGGGGGGGGGATGCACAGACATACACAGCTGAAAGAGGTAGGACCGATCCTGTCCAGGGAGGAAGATAATTTGACCTATCTCACAGCCATCTCTTAGCCATCTACATTTCAACATTCCTGAATGTTCAGGCAGACTACCTATAGGAGGAGATTATAAGCAAGAATGAGGGGTCTAACAATCATCACCTTATTACCCTGATTTGTTAGTGACAGGATGGTAAGACTATGATGTGATCGGAGGACTGAGGACGCTGATGTGAAGAGGGGACTGAGAACCCTGGTGTGAAGGAGGAACTCTGATGTAAAAGGGGGCACTCGGGTATGAAAGGGGGGGCTCTGATGTAAAGAAGGGGGTCTTCCAATGTGAAGAAGGTTCTTCATATGAAGAGGGGTCTTCTAATGTGAAGAAGGTTCTTCATGTGAAGAGGGTTTCTTGTGATATGAAGAGGATTTCTGATGTGAAGGGTTCTTGTGATGTGAAGAGGATTCCTAGTGTGAGAGAGGGGGACTCTTTTTTGTGGGGGGTCCAGATGTGGCAAAAGATACCCAGTGAATAGCTTCTTGAGGGTTTAATTATATCAAAGGAAGGAGTAATCGAAGCTCTCTCAGCTGATTCCCCGGTGATTGCAATGTGAAAATGATAAACAAAATGATGGCACCATTAAAATGGATTTATCCAGCTGATCACAGATAAATATAAACGGAACTCTGTGATTAGTTAAGTTCATCAGCAAACAAAACCCAAAGAAGTGGAGCTTCAAGCTGTCAACATCGCAAATGGATTCCGGGCCCACGAAATTCTACACACATTCATGGATTTAATGATAGAAGTTACTTTGAATTCTTCTTCTCTGACAAAGTGGACATGGTCTTTGAAATTTCCGATGAGGAATGTTCATTATGGGGGTTATTCACAAAGGAGACGGAGGATTAAACCGAACCTTAGGCTAATCCTTCGGCTTGCTTCGGCTTGCTTCGGCTGCAGGAACCCTTCGGTTCAGCCGAACCGAAGGGCTGCCATTGGGCTATTCCCAATAGCCCGTACAGCAGCCAATGGCAGCTGAAGCACACAGCTGAGCCGAACGCATATGCTTTGGCTTGGCTGAGTCGAAGACACAGCCGAAGCGGCCAGAACGATCTGCCAAAGCCAAATTGTAAACAAATAGGAAAAAAAGAAGGTGGGGTCCCCCTCCCAAACCGTACCAGACCCTTTAGGTCTGGTTGGAATGTTAGGAGGGACCCCCGAGTTAAAAAAAAAGTGAATTTGAAGGGGGAACTCCAACGCCCAAAAATAAAAAAAAGTGGGGTCCCCCCTAAAATGCCCAACCAGTCCCTCAATCCGGGCACTGGCCTGGAATGTCTTGAGCCATGTGCAAATGTCTAAACATGATTCAATTTAAAAATGATCTATCTATCTATAATCTATCTATCTATCTATCTATCTATTACATGTGTCAAATGACAATGAGCTGAGATAACATCTGACTCCACTATTTAACATATTAAAACCCTTATGGCCATCATAGTTCAGTCAGCTGTATCCCCATGACTGCTCGGTAAATACGATTGTCATATGATAATATTGAATTGCATGCTAATAAATCTGCTGAGTTTAATCCAGATGAATATAATTGGAATTTCATCAATAGTAAATGATAGTGGAAAGTGAAATCCAGAGAGGTGAAGAAAAACCTGTGCAGCCTTGAAGAACGATGGATCCCACAACAACTAAACTCTATCACATACATGGAATGGATTCCAGAGGTCATCTGGATTTATATTTAAAACAAAAAAACATGGAAAGCGCTCCACTGTAGTATGGTCAACTATCTTGGTCGTTGGTATATTGGGGGATGGTGTGCATAAACTCCTCAACAAACCGGGAGAGGAACCCGGTAATTCACATTCACAAACACAGTATAAGGAAGAGTGCAACAACCTGAGTAGATACTTATTGGGTATAGCATAGCAGTTGTTCAATGGATAAATGCTGCCCAGTCTGTTGTGACTGGCTGGATCATGAGGGTTAAACAGTATATGTATAACTTACGGTTAAGCTGTCACAGGGGAGCAAACAGCGTCTCTGCATGCATATGACAAAGATGGATATACTGCCCCTTAGGAAGTCCAGGGTATTCCCAGGGTATCTCCAGCCCGCGTACTCGGCTGGCCTGGCCGAGCCGCGGCACTTGGAGGAAGGAGGGGGAAGGAAGATCTTGAGCGGCAATGTACTGTGTATCTGTGCGGCGTGTGTCGCAAGCGTGGAACGGTCAGACACAGTGGGTGGATCGGTACTCGTGAGTCTGAACGAGTATGGAGTTTGTAAATATGCAGTGCTAACGGCTACACGTTTCGAGGTAGTCCTCTTTTTCAAGCCTAAGACTGCTCTTAAAATTCCTGAATTTGTAGGGGAACCCCACGCATTTTAAAAAAAATTTTTACCCAAAGGGTCTGGTACGAATTGGGGAGGGGAACCGCATGCTGTTTTTTTTTTTATTATTCTATTTTTTACCAATTTGCAGGGAATCAGTCCGCTTCGGCGGACCGATCTCCCCAATCTAGCTGTGCATTAGCGCATACAACAGCCCTTCAGTTTGGCTGAACCGAAAGGGTTTCTGCAGCCGAAGCGAGCCGAAGGATTAACCGAACATTTGGCTCTTTAGTGAATAAAGCCATCAATCACCAGGAAAGCACTCACATGTTAAAAAAAAAAAACAGCCATGTAACACGGAGACAGGGTTTAAAATGGTTTTAAATCTGAACTGACCCTCATGACTGGTAAGTGCAGATACTTTGTGGTGTATACATTACGTCAGTAGGGTATGCCATCATTGTTTTACATAACATGAAACAATATCATTAAAAAACATCCTTTAGATGAATGAATTCTGCCTCCCGCACCGGATTATAATGAACATAACACCCGATTCTCTAATATCTCTGCAGGTCAAATTGCTGGTAAACTTTTGATTGACATCAGCATGGGTTCCCTAATCCCCCATCTCTATTCCGCTTGCAATGTCTTCAAAGATATGGTTGTCCTAAAACTCAATGAACAATGTATCATGGAACTGAGCAGATGGCTACACGACCTCACTGGAGCTTATGACTGGGGATACACATCAGCCGCCGTGGCTGAGCTGGAAGGAACGAAGTGAGTTGTCCCTTGATGGCTGCACACCTTTTGGCTTTACTCTTCAGCTCTTGCCTTATTATGCTTTCAAAATTTAGGTTGAAGAGTAATGTGTCCTTAAAAGCAATGTCAGGAGGTCTTAAATATTTTAATAGTTAATATATCATTTTTTAAACATTTAATTTAGGTAACTATGAAATATCGCATATGGATACATGATATTTGCATTGCTAGCCAGCAGATGGAGCTCTCAGCTCATTTCCACATTTTCTATATCTGCTTTGCTAGGGAAAAAAAAAAGAAGAAGCTTGCTGACTACAGAGCTCAATAGCTCAAGCAGTCATTTACATTCAGGACTGATTAAGTCAGAGCAGCGACATCTTGCAATTCACTTCTACTTTTTCTGTCCATAAGTTTGAATATAACCTGTAGACATTGTAGATAAATGTAATGCTAAACCAAAGTATGCCCATCACTTGCAGCTTGCAGAATTTTTTTTTTTGTAGGGATCAACTTCAGGACCAGGAATTGCAACTAAAGTCGTGCATCAAGCAGATTTTGAAATGTGATTTTGAACGGGAAAACATAAGCTCGCCGGTGGCGTTACCACTCGCTGATTGCATTGTCAGCGCATTGATACTGGATGCTATCAGTAAAGATAAAGATGAATACATGAGAAATCTGGAAAAGATGATAAAGCTGCTGAGACCTGGAGGCAAGCTGATACTTATGGGGTTATTAGATGCGACCTACATAGTTGTTGGGGGGAAACGGTTCCATCGTTTGAAATACGATGAGGACTTTGTGAAGAATGCCCTCGGTAAGCTGGGGTTAGTCATTGATTACTGTGCAGTGCAGAAGAGACGCAATATGAGCGATCTCATAGATTATCGCTCTGCTGTGTTCGTTGTAGCTCGCAAGGGGGAGTAGGTGATTGCAGCTGATGGTATCAGGGCCTGTTAACACCAGATCCAGTTCGATTCTGGCCCGGAACGCACACTGCATCGCAAGGCACGTTGTGCCTGCGGTCCGGGTCCTGTCCGGTGCAATCAAAATGCTGCAAGCACTATTTTGATCTCACCGGACCGGACTGCAGGCACAATGTGACTTGCGATCCCATGCGGGCGATCGCATTGCGGCCGGAGGGCGTGGCTACGGTGCCATTCACTTCAATGACCCGCCACGCCCCCTCTTGCCCAGCAAAAAAGTGAGCCGGCCGCAATGCGATGCAGTGCGTTCCGGCCATAATCGGACCGGAACGCACTGCATCTGGTGTGAATGTGCCCTTAAAGGAGAACTCCAAGAATTACAGACTGCTAAAATGGTGCCCACGGCCTTTTCATCTATGGGCATCAGCAGTCCAAGGACGACCACTGGTGTCATAAGGTCTAATGCACATCTATTGAAATGCAATAGATGTGAGGATTTCAAGGGACTCTCCATAGCCGGAATGGAGAGGGAGAGAGGTGAGTGCTGACCACCGCAAGACCAAGGGTCGTGTAAGTAAATCTGCTTTATTTGACCCCCCCTTAGACAAAACAAGCACCTAATCCTATCCTTGCAGCTGGGGGTAGCCCCATTGCAAGGGAATGTTTTCTGAATTTCCTGAGTTTTTCTTTAACCTGAGTGTGAAAGTGATACAAAGTATCTCCATAAAACACTTGGAATCAATTAGTGTCAGGAAGCACTTCAGATGTGTTAATGTAAGATATATTAGCTCACAATAAAATTCTATTGACTTGTGATTGTCCTAATGAATGTCTCTTTCTTAATAAATATCAATATTGTTTAAATTGAATAAAGATCAATTATCTGTCTGTCTTTCTTTCTATCCATATCCAACTTATCTATGGGTTCTCCAATCTTAACTTATAGTAATTAACTTGCAATAAACCTTCCAATATAGGCACACAACCGCATAGACCTGTTTTTTTTAATTTGCAGTCTCCTTAATAACAGCGGTGTTTTGTATGAACATTACTAGTAGTTTAAAAGGCAATTATTATTGTTATTATTATTGTTGTTAATAATAACATTTGAACTAAGCATTCATCAAACAGCAGTGTGTATTAATAAATATGTAGCGCTCGCCCCCTGTAAGAAAATGACACGAAATTATTTTTTATGTCATATTCCTTTTCTCGAACAATAATAGATGATTGTTTCCGTTGTTGCATAAAGTTCAGAATGTGTTTAATTTAAAGTTACAAAATATTACAGGATATGGTATAAACTGTCTATTCAATGTGATGCTGTGCATGTGTGTGTCTGTGGATCTGTAGTGTGAATGAGTGTGTGAGTGTGTGTGATTGTGTGAATGTGTCTTGAAGGATCATCCCCCATCCTTTTATTCATGCTTTTACTTTAAAATAACTTATGTGATGTTTACCTTAAAAGTCTTTCTGATTAGCATAAGGGAGTGCCATACTCTTTGTAGCTGAGTCATGTGTTCTCCTTCTATCCCATTTTGGGCATCATAGTCTATGTCCTGAGTAATGTGTTTTATTCTTCAAACCCATTTTAAAGGCCAAGTCTACTTTGAGCAATCCTAACAACTGTTTCTACTATGTTTAAGTCTGCACTGTCAGGCTCACTGATTGATTACCAATTGTAAACTAAAAATCAGCAGCACCAGTCAAAAGGCATCTCCAAACTTATATAACCCGGGTCATCAATAGCCTGTCTAGGGATTTTAGCAACCAGCTGCCCCGTTAGCATTGACCGCCCTCTTCTAGTGACCAGCAGAGCTGACATCCAGTCCAGAGGGTATGATGCTGAAGAATTTTATTAACATCTTCATTCTGGGAGAGAGGGTGTAGGGGGCCTAGACATCCAGGGTGAAACAGACACAGACTCACCAGTCCCTGTTAGTACTCCAGTGTGGATCAATAGGAACACCATTTTAAATCATAAAAAAAAAGTATATAATAAACACAAAAAGTGAATTTGATCTCTTCAACTAAACTCAAAGTCTGAACAAATAACATCATCATTGCTTGCTGGAAGCAATGCATGATGGGATATGTAATGGAGATTGCATCACATCAAGCAGCAGGGAAAGAGACGCAAAGCACACTGGGAATCCAGGAAGGTGTTGGAAGTGATTGGCAAGCGGAAGGCAGCGCTCACTACATAGAAGGTATTTTTTCAAGTAAGCTTTGATTGTATTATCAACAAGAACTCTATTATTATACAGGATTTATATAGCGCCAACAATTTGCCCAGCGCTTTACAATATAGTGGAGACAGTACAGTTACAATACAATTTACAGTACAATACAGTTTCAGAACAATAGGGTTGGGGGCCCTGCTCGTGAGAGCTTACACTCTAGAAGAAGGGGCAAGTGATACAAAAGGTAATAATTGTTTGGATTGAGTTATTGGAGGAAGTAAAAGGCAGTTATGGTGAGATGAGGTAGGCTTCCCTGAAGAGATGGGTTTTTAAAGGATCGCCTAAAGGTGGGCAGCGTAGGAGATAGGCGGACAGATTGGGGTACGGAGTTCCAGAGGATAGGGGACACTCTGGAGAAGTCCCGGAGGCGAGCATGGGAGGAGGTAATGAGAGCACTAGAGAGCAGGAGGTCTTGAGAGGACGGTTTGGGTGATATTTTGAGATGGGATCAGTGATGTAGGTTGGGGTCGGAGTTGTAGATGGCTTTGTATGTTGTTGTTAGTATTTTGAATTTTATTCGTTGGGCAAGTGGAAGCCAGTGTAGGGATTGGCAGAGGGGGTCGGCAGACACTGAACGGTTGGTAAGATGGATCAGTGTATTATGTATTCCTATTATAATGCTGCTGATAATACAGGAGAGGATATCAAGAAAAACTAGATATAACAAATTTGACTTTATTGGCACCAAATGACAAGTCCCAAAACAACACACCGATCAATTAAAAATATATTATTTGTACTTTTGTGTGCCAACCCTAATGCAAAAGGCACACCTATGTCTGGATTAAACAAATAATTGATAGATAGTTTTTATGTTGAAACATGTTTAGACATTTGCACATGAAACAAGACATTTTATCCGTCTACCTCCTTAAAGGAGTTGTAAAGTCCCGGCATATACTATCCTGTTCAAAACAAATTATTGTGAACAGAACCTGAGTGAGTGATGCCACACCCCTATTTGAATCAAGAAAAAACTGGATAGAACAAGTGGGGCTTTATTGGTACCAAACGACAAGTCCCAAAACAACACACCGATCAATTAAAATATATTATTTATTGAATACAAAACATAATTTAAAAGCTAATTCGAAATACAGTATAATTGAGAGATACCTCCACAGCCACTCTCTTCTTTAAAGGAGAACTATGAGGTGAGTGCTTCTCATTCACCTCATAGTTCTAGCCGACCTGTGACAATGAGACTGTCACAGGTCGGCTCAGTAGATCGGGAGGTGAGAGAACACATACCGGCGTTCGCTCACCCCTTAGTTCCTCTAGATAGGCAGAGGCAGCTGTCACTCACGCAGCTGGGCGGATCTCGACATCGATGTCGGGATCCGCTCTGGCTGCGGCGTCCCAGTATACCGCGAGCTTTAGCTCGTGGTATACTGAGCTTAGGGTAACGGGAGGATGCTAGCTTGTGTCCTCCCGTTACCCTAAGGAGAACTATGGGGAAAAACACTGACCCCATAGTTCTCCTTTAACTCCTTTAACCAGTTGACATCCGCGGTGTTAAACCCCCTTCCCATCCAGGCCATTTTTCAGTATTCAGCGCTGCGGTACTTTGACTGACATTTATTCCGTCATGCAGCGCTGTACTGAAATTAATTTTATACCCTTTTTTGGGGACAGATAGAGCTTTCTTTTGGTGGTATTTATTCACCACTGGGGGTTTTTATTTTTTTACTATATTAAGGAAAAATCACCGAATTAAAACACCCGGTACCGGGTGTTTGCATTGGACGGGTCTTTTCTGCCCGTGCGTGCCCGCTAGGGGGCGCGCGCGAGCAGAAAAAAAATGCCGTCTGGCGACGGCAACCCGCCAATGCAGCAGTGCCGTCCGTCCGTTTTTCTACTACGGGCGGACGGCAAGAGGTTAAGGAGGTAGACAGATAAAATGTCTTGTTGCATGTGCAAAAGTCATCAATTATTTGTTTAATCCAGACATAGGTGTGCGCAGCCTATTGCATTAGGGTTTGCACGCAAAAGCACAAATGCACACGCGGATATATATACACTATATTGCCAAAAGTATTGGGACACTCCTCCAAATCATTGGATTCAGGAGTTCCGTGACATTTCCTGGCTACTAAATATTCCGCAGTCACCTGTTACTGGGATTACAACAAAGTGGAAGCAACAGCAACTCAGCCAGGAAGTGGCAGGCCACGTAACATGACAGAGCGGGGTCAGCGCAATTATAACTTTGTTGGAGGAGTTTGGGGACGGCCGTTCCAACATGACTGTGCACCAGTGCACAAAGCAGGGTCCATAAGGACATGGATGGGGGAGTTTGGGGAGGAGGAACTCGACTGGCCGCACAGAGTCCTGACCTCAACCCCATAAGTTCTGGGCTCCTGCAGCCCAGCTATAAGCTATTGAAGTGCGATCTGCACTTCAATAGCTTATTTCCAGTGTAAAGGTGACACTGAGGGTCTTTTGGACCCCCAGCATCACCTTAAAGAGGACCTGTCACCACCATCTGCTATTACATGGGGGGGCTTGCAAGCTATTTATGTTGGATTTCGTGATTTTCTACCGTTTTGAAAGCAAATAAACTGCATTTTACTTGCACCTCCGGTCTACAGTGGAGTGTCCTTGTTACAGTACACACACACATGTGTATTAATCAGATGATTACAAAACATTTGAGCCGGGAATATTAAAAATGATTAACTATTGTCAGCCTTGCACCATGCTCTAGCTCTTTGTATACAATAAATATAAGTTTATAATACACTAATATGCACTTTAT